AAGGAAAAGAAAATGTGCTAGCAGACGACGACGACGATTAATCTTACGTTTCGATGATTTTTAAAAGAAAAAAAAGGAAAACTAAAAATTTTGAAAATTTTTTTTTTTTGGCCACATGGTTGATTTTCAAAAAAAAAGGAAAAAAAGGAAAAAAAAGGAAAAAAAAGAAAAAAGGAAAAAAAGGAAAAAATGGAAAAAAGGAAGATAGAAAAATGACGTAAGGATTAAAGTTTTAACTTTTTGAAAATATATCATCAAAAAAGAAAATAATTATTTGACACGTTTTAAGTAAAAAATAATTCGTCATTGTTGTTAAAATTGTACGGAAAATTTTCGGTTGTCGCATTTAAAAACAAAATTTATTTTATTTTATATATTTGTCTTCTGCTTTCGACGACTACGATGATAATGATGATAATAATTTATTTTTCAAATTCGCCGAAACAGTCAAAAAAAAAAAAATTAAAAAAAAAGTTTAGAATAATTAAATGAATGCGAAACAATAAATTTTTTTTTATAATTCAAAATGTCGAGAATCGGAAAAAAAAGCAGAAGAAATTAAAAAACAAAATGTCTGCCGTTGACAAATTTCCCATCGTCGTCGTCGTCGTCGTCGTGGATTTGTTTTATGTGACGATTCAATGAATGTTGAATACACGGTTGAGTGACTCTTTTGTGACATAAACTCACGCATGTATATACTGGCAGGAGGACGCGTGATATTTTTTCAACTTTTCCTAATTTGTTTTGTTTAACCCGCACTTCCGTTTCCGTTTTTAAAAAATTTTTTTTATTCTCCTCCCCCTCTCTCCCGTTTTCTCGACGTTTCCCCTTAATTTCCAGCAAACAAATTCCATTTATTTATTTTCATCGAATTTTTTAATAAAATGATTTTCCGCATGATCGAACGCAAAGGTCAAAGGTCATCAATCAGTCAATCAATCAATCAAACGCAAAAGTGACAAAATATATTTTTAAAAAAAGAATAATGATTAAAAATACTTAAACGTACGTTTTTTTTAAATGATGATTGACGTCACAAATGTTTTCGTTTCGTTTTCCAGTTTTTTTTTTTTTTCTGGAAAACTGGAGAGAGTATAAAAAAGGGGATACCTGGAGAGGAATAAAGTTGTGACAAATACACGTGACTAATTTATCCTTTTTAATTCGCGACGCATTTTCCCCCAACAAACAATCGAAAGGTGACAGTGATGATGATGATAATTTTTTTAAAAATTCGTTTTCATTATTATTATCATTATTATTATCATCATCATCATCATCATCACTTTGGTTTTATTGTTCGTTTATCATACAAACATTAATTTAAACGTCAAAAAAAAAAAAAAATAATAATTGATGAAATATTCAATTTAAATTTTATTAATGCGTGACAGACGTGACGTCATAATAACGAAAAAAATAATTATTCATTTTTTTTGGGGGGGTAGGAAGAAGGGAAAAGGGGAAAAACCTTTTCTGAATTCAGCAGAACCTTTTTTTCTGTTTTCTTTATCAAATATACAAGATTAAGGTATGAATGAGGTAAAAGATATTTGAAAATTCATCGGGGAAGCAGAAAAGAAAGAAAGAAAACGTAAGAGAGAGAGAGAGAAAAAAAGGTTAGAAGGTCACGTTTAAAATTTAAAAAAAAATTTAATTACCTTTGACGTCATTTTTTGCTTTCCGAAAAAAAATTTTTTTTAGTTTTTTTTGGAAAAAAAATACATTTAAATATGGCTTCCCACTTAAAAAAAAACCGGAAACCGTTAGCGGAAATGATTTTTGTATTTTTTTTTTTTTTAGATCGAATCTAAAGAATTCATTAAAACAAATTAGTTTTCACCTCCCCCGCCCCCTTTCTCACCGAAGGATGCCGTTCCGATTGTCTGAAATGTAACAACGACGATAATTTATTAGCAGAAACCTTTTTTTTTTCCTACACGATTTTTAACTTCCGGTTAAAATTAAAAAAAAAAAAAAAATGGGAGAAAATTTGACGTCACAAAACGTTTTATTTGTTTAATTCGTTTGCCTTTAAAAAAAAAAAAAATTCGTTGTTATTATTATCATTTGTTGAGGATTGGATGATTTGAGTTTGATGATGACGATGATGATGATGATTTTGATGACGTATTACAGAAAATGCACGTGTATAAGAAAACCCTTCAAGCTCTTATCTATCCGATATCAAGCACGACTCCTCACAATTTTCTACTTTGGACTGCGACGTCACCAACGTATTGTTACGAATGCGAAGGTTTGCTATGGGGAATAGCGAGACAAGGAGTCAGATGTACGGAATGCGGGGTCAAATGTCACGAAAAATGTAAAGATTTATTAAACGCGGATTGTTTACAACGTGAGTATAATTGAATCAATTTTATTATTATTATTATCATTGGGAGGAAAAGTCGATGGGGAAAAAAAAAATAATTGGGGGGTGAGGGTGGGGATTGGGGATTGGGGAACGCATTTCACGGTTTTTAATTAACCGGAAATCCTTTTTTTTTTTTTTTTTTGTTTATTAATTATTTAAGGTGCGGCGGAAAAAAGTTCAAAACACGGAGCAGAAGACAAAGCAAACAGCATAATAACGGCAATGAAAGAAAGAATGAAACAGCGGGAAAGAGAAAAACCTGAAATATTCGAACTCATCAGGTGAGAGAAAAAAAAAAAAATTTCATTTTTATCTTTACTTCCTTTACTTCCTTTACTTCCACCTCATTTTCTCTCTCTCTTTCTCTCTTTCTCTCTCTCTCTCTCTTTCTTTCTTCATTTCTCTCCCTCTCTCTCTTTTTTATTTTTAGAGATTTCGCAGATGCGAAAACAATTTTTCATCTTTTTCATATTTTTTTCATTTTTTTTTTTAGAATTTAATTTAAATTAATTAATTAATTAATTTTTTTTTGTTCGCGGTTCGTTTGTTTCCAGGTTTTTCTTTGTTTTCTTCCAGGTTTCGTTGAAACACGCGAACGAACGGGATCTATGAAAAACCTGGATGATAATATTAATAATAATTTTTTTTCTATTGTTTCTTTAGTTCTCCAGATCGTTCGGGTCGAAAATAAATTAATTTTTTTTTGAATTTCAGATCGTCGAATTTTCAAATGACGTCACAAAAAAAATTTTTATTCGTTTAATTTTTTTTTCTATTCCAGAATTTTCCAGAATGAAAAAAATTTATTTATAAATAATTTTTATTTTATTTATTTAGTAGGATAAAAAATAATTTTCCGATCCGATTTGAAATTTTCTTTACATCGTCAAAACGATGTACTCGAATTTAAAATTTGTCGAAATAAGTTATTATTATTATTATCTTTGATATCTTTTCGTTCTTGAAAAAAGTGTGTGAGAGAGAGAGAGAGAGAGAAAAGTAACCGGAAACGAAATAAGAAAAATCGTCGGCAGCGGCGGCGGTGATGGTGTCGAAGAAGACAACGTCGGAAATCGTGGTGAGGAATAAAAAAAAAAAAAGAATTCGAAAGAAAACCGGAGAAAAGTTTTTTCCCCTTCTTCCTCTCTCTCTTTCCCTTTCCTCCTCTCCTTTTTCCCTCCCTCCCTCCCACCTTCCCTCTCCCCCACTTTAAAATTTATCGTTTTAAAAAGAAAAGGAGGAGACGAATTTTTCCTTATTTTTTTTTATTATTTTCCCCAAGGTCAAAATCGAGCGTTTAAACTTCTACTTCCGGTGATTCGATCGATCGATCGGTCGTCGTATTCTACGAATTTTTCTTATTAACCGGAAGTTGTTCACGCCACTTTAGAATTAAGGAAAAGAATTCGCGAATCGTTCCTCGTACGTTTCAATAATAAGAAATTTTATAAGGAAAAAAAATTTTATTTATTTTTTTTTTTACCTGTCGTCGTCGTCGTCGTTGACGTTGACGTCATCGTCGACGTCACCGTCGACGTCATCGTCTTTTTGTTTTTTCCAATTAAAAACACGACGACACCTGTCGGATAAAATAAAATGAATAAATTCGAATCGCGCATAAATTGTTTTTTTTTTTTTCGTGAAATGTTAATACGAATAATTAATTCTGGGAAAAGTTTTTTTTGTGAGCATCCCCCCACCCTCTCTCTCTCCCCTCTCTCTCTTTTTACATTCTTTTTAAACAATACTTTCTAAATTGATATTGTTTTCTCCCCAAAAATGTATTTTATATACACTCGAGAATTGTTTCGGAGTAAAATTTCTTTTCTTTTCTTTTCCTTTTTTTTTTTTTAATTAAATAAATAAAAGCGTCGTAATTACGAGAACGTTTTGAATTTATTACCTGCACGCACACACGCACACGCACGCACATTATTAATAATAATAATAATTTAACGCGGCGTAAAAAAAAAAAAATTTTTTTTTTTCCGTCGCACATGTATTAAATTTACGCTACTACTATTTGAGAACCAAGGAAAAAAGGAAAGTAAAGGAAAAGAGTAAAGAAAATTGTTTTCTCTCTCTCTCTCTCTCACTGTACTTCGATCGGAAAATAATAAGATGAGAGAGAGAAAGAGAGAGAGAGAGAGGGAGGGAGTATTCCGTCTGGAAAATAAAAATGAAAAATCTATGATTTTGTTTTTTTTTTTTTTCTATAGATCCCTCCGATCGGTTTTTCATTACATTATTCGATTTGACCGTTCGTTCTATTTTCTACGTCGTGGTAGCAGAAAAAGTAAATTCAATTATTTTTTTATATATAAATTTATATTTTTTTTTTTTTTTTGCTTTTTCTATCTTTATCTATATAAATAGAATAGAAGATGAAGAAGAAGAAGATGAAAAATAAATTTATAGTTCAAACTATATCTATATATATATATATTCTATTTACGAAAAGGTTTTCTCTCTCTTTTTTTCTCCAAAACATTCTCCAGAAAGATTGATTTTGGAATAAAAAAATTGACGATGTGGATAATAATCGAATGATGATAATAAGCACACGAAAAAAAAAAAAACAAATTATTATTATTATTTTTTTTTTAACGCGAAATTAATTTATATTTTCCAGAGGGAATGAAAAAACTTATTATTATTATTATTATTATTATTAATTTTGGAATTTTTTTTTCTGTATCGGTTTCGTAGTTTTTTACACGTGCGTGTGTGGGTGTGTGTGCGTGTGCGATTTTTCCTGTGGAAAGCAGACGAAATTTTTTTTTTTTTTTTTCGTCTCCAAAAATTTATTTAACTCCGCCATTTTTTTTAAAACAAACAAACGAACAAGCGAAACGAAACGAACAAATTTTTTTTTTTTACTGAAAAATTATTTTAAACGTAATTAAGTTCTTTTTTCTCACCCCCTTTCCTCTCCTCCCCTCCCTCTCTCTCTCTCCTTCATTTCGTACTTGAAAATTTACGTACTCGCACCCGTAAAAAATTTTCCATTTCGTTTTCAAAAAAACAAACAAACAAATAATAATATAAACCGTTTTATTTGATTTCAGTACGTTCCAGTTGTTTACACGATTTTCCACGTAAATGTTTGTTACGTGATAATAATAATAATAATAATCGTTAATTCCAGCACCCGAAATGAAGGGAAAAAAAAAAAATTTTTTTTTTCAGTTTTTTCCAACTGTGGAATGTTCTTCGTATCGATCGAATATCGTTTGGTGAAAATGATAATGATAATGATGATTGTATTTGTCGTTTGTTGTTATTATTATTAATAGTAAGAAATTGTTGTGATTAAACATAAAATATTAATAAATAAACAGGTCCGTTTTTGGAGTTGACGAAAAAAGTCACATCGGGTATATGGCGGCTGTGAAACAAAGCGTTCTCGATGGTACATCAAAATGGTCGGCTAAAATAGCAATCACAGGTTTGTCGACTCCAGAAAATGCTAAAAAAAAACTTGATGTCGATTCGCTGGATATGATATATATCGATGTTATTTTTATTACCTTCTTTTTGTTACCTGACGACGCTGTCAACATAAAAAAAAAACATCAAATTTTTAATTGGCGACGGTGGCGATGACGGTGGCGGTAAAAGAAAACAAATTTAAAAAAAAAAACGCGCGAAAAAAAAAATTTGATGTTTTTTTAAGACGGCAGAAAAAAAAAATAAAAAAAAAAAAAACGAAAGCTTGAGTGTCGCTTTGTTTGATGTTGTTAACCCCCCCTCCCCATGCCCGATTATAATAATAATAATGATAATACGTTTGTATTATTATTATTATTATTTCGATAAAAAAAAAAAAATGGTTCGTGCCTTAAATGACAGAAAACAAAAAAGTTGTCAAATTTGAGTTAATTACAGGCGTATTTTAAATTAATTTTATCATTATTATTATCATTATTATTATTATTAACGATCGCGTGATTTCCGCTTGAGTAAATGATAAGAAATGTAAAAAGAGAGGGGAAGGGGGAGGGGAGGAGGAAATGACCAAAGAAAAAGGGGAGAAAAGTGTAAGTTGAATGTGAAAAAATTTAAAAGTGACGCATTTGTTCCTTTGTTTTTTTCTGGAAAATTCAAAGGAAAAGTTGTTATTATTATTATTATTTAAGGCACAAATCATTCGAATTATAAAAAAAAAAAAAATGCATCTTTAATTTTTTTTTGTTTTATTATTATTATTATTTTTTTTTAATTTTTAAAAATTTCGTTTTCCGTTTCCTGTCTGTTTATCTCGGATATGTTTTTTTTTGTTTTTTGTTTTTTGTTTTTGTCTTGCTATTTTTGGTTTGTGTTTCTTTCCACAGAACAACTTTTTCAGTCGATCCAGACACTCACATTGATTCTATAAAACAAGCAGAAGACATCGTACTTGAAGGGACCTCAAAATGGTCTTGCAAGATTGCCATTACAGGTACCACCACTACTATAACGATTAACAAAAAAAATATTAAAAACTTTAATCATTTAGATAGATTAGGAATTTAACGAAAAAAAAAAATTTTCTTTAAAATTAGGAGATCGTTTATAGCAAATTTTTAATCACCGCAAAATAAAAAAAATTTTTGATAGGATTAGCAACAGCAAAACATATTTTATTAACAAACACACAAACACGCATACACACACTAACACACCACGCGTAAAATTTTCTCTTTTTCTGCCACAATTTAAAAAAAAAAAAACCGACGCTTTGATTAGTAGCAAAAAAAAATCACTAATAACAGCAAAAACCGTTAGAATTTTATTGCTACTTTTTTTTCCCGACGTATATAATAAATACAAAAAAAAATTCAAACATTAATCAAACGTCAGCAAAATTTTTTTTTTTTTTTATTGGCTGTCAAATTTTTTTTTTTTTAAATTTTTTCACTCCTGTATTTAAGTGATAAACCTTTTTTTTTTTATCACGATTTAAAAATAAAACCTTTTTAAGGTTTTCTCTTTCCGGAAAAGCATAAATTGTGACGGGGAAATGGGGCAGTGGGTGGGGAGACGGGAAGAGGCGGGGAAAAGAGAGAAGACGAAAGAAAAAAAAAAAACGTTACCTCTTTCTACTCTTACAAAATATTTATTTATTTATTAATAATAATAATAATAATAACATTGTCGTTTGTTATACGCGAACGCGTTTGTCGTTGTCGTTGTTGGAGAATAATAATAATAATAATAATATAAACGTAAATATGATGAGAGAGAAAAAAATTCGAATCGAATTAAAAATTCTTCGTCATTTTATCGTTTTTCTTTTCTATTTTTTGTTCGAAATTAAAAAAATAATAATAATAGTAATGATGTTATTTCTGCACGCGCATCCCCCCACTCGTTCTCCTGTTATTATTATTATTTGTTTTTTTTCCCGAACGCCTCGAATGGTTAATAACTCGCGAAAAAAAAAACATTCCAAAAACGGGAAGAAAAACGCGAAGAAGCGTTGAAACGACGGAATAAAAAAAAAAAAAAAATGGGAGTAAACCGGGGGATCGCGAAGACGGGAAGGCGGGAGTAGAGGGAAGGGGAAGGGGAAGAGGGCGGCGTTATTGAAAAATTAAAATCGTAAACGCAATCCTGTTGCTTTTTTTTTCATTTCATTTCCGTTCCAAAATGGAATGAAACGAAATGAAATGAAACGTCTTAGATGGTTGTAAAAAAAAAAAATTTTTTTTTCTTTATGTCTTTTTTTCTTTTCAATTTTTTTTTTTTGTTTTCTTCAACGACGGTTATAAAAAACAATGAAAAAAATGTCCTAATTTATTATTATTATTATTATTATTATTATTATTATTATTATTATTATTATTTCACTTTACGATCTGGAAGCAATAAAAAAAAAAAATTACGAACGAAATGAATAAAAAATAAAAGAGAAAAAAAATTTTTTTCGGGTTCGGTTTCGTTTAAAATTGTTTGACTTTTAATTAAATTTTACTATTATTATTATCATTATCATTATTATTATTAATTAATAATTACTTGAGCCGACACAATGGGAACAATTTAAAAAATAAAAAATTTTCTTCCGATTTCATCTAGGGAAAATTTTTGTTGAAAAAGGTGAAAATTTTTAAATTTGATGAATCGATTAAGATTTCCGTCGGAAAACTTTTTTCAAAATGCCGTCGGATGACGTCACGTTTTAATTACGATTGTTTTTATTATTATTATTATTTTTATTATTAATATCTTGCACGATATACATAGTTAAATATTATTATTCACAAACCGTTCGTTTCAGAATTATTTAAATAAAATTAAAATAATTTTTTTTTTACTTTTCCATACGATTTTCCAGGAGGAAAAAATAGAAAAAAACGTTAAACTATTTCCGGTTACGCGAATTCCCGTCGCTTCTTCAGTTTTTTTCTTTTCTCATTCGCCCTTATTTACAAATATATCATTATTATCATCATCATCATCAGGTTTTTCTTTTTTATTACCCCCAGTAACCGCCGACCCGCTACCCCTCTTCCCTCTCCCTCCCCCTCAAAAAGAAAACCCCCGAAAAATAATTAAAAACTTTTTTCTTTTTATTTTTTTGCATGGTGTTTTCCATTGTTAATGTTGTTGTTGTTGTTGTTTCATTTGTTTGTTTGCTTGTTGTTGTTAACAAAAAAAAAAAAGTTTTAAAAAGCTTTTTCTTTTTTTTAAATTACCAAAAAGTTATCATTTTTATTATCATTATTATTATTATTATTATTATTATTATTTATTTAGTTTTTAATGCTTTTGCTGTTGTGTTCTTAGTTACAAAATTTAATTAATTTTTTATGTATATATATATAAATATAATCGAACGTAAGTTTTTTTTTTAAACAGTTAGAAGCGAAATCAAAATAATAATGATAATAATAATACGTATTTACTATCATTATCATCATCATCGTCGAATGAACAGACGTGAAATTAATCGAAACGAACAGATTTTTTTTTTTTTTTTTAATAAATTATTTGAGGTTTTCCAAAAATTTTCCACATCGTTTATCAAATATTCATTATCCGTTAATCACGTTCACTTTCTGCCACGTTAAACAAACAAATAAACAAACAGAAAAAAATAAAATAAAATTCAATCGTTTGTAAAAATAATTTAATAATAAATTATAATCGACGGTGAAAATGGCGATGATGATGTTAATAATAATAAAAAAACTCTTTAATAAATTATTTATTTACAAACGTTTTGAATGATATTCGATAAATCGATCGATCGATCGATGAATCGTTCGATACTCGAATTTATTCATTTCCCGTCGGATGTTAGAATTCGTTTTTTTTTTTTGTAACTTTTTAAAAAAAAAGGATAAAATTCGCTTCTAATTTTTTTTTTTTTTTTTTTTTAATAACGGTTTAATAAAATGTGGTAATATTTATTATTATTATTATTAAGAATGACGTTAAAATTAATGAATTTGTTTCGTGTATTTAGTTATATGTGCCCAGGGTCTTATTGCCAAAGATAAAAGCGGAACATCCGATCCATACGTGACGGTACAAGTTGGAAAAGTTAAAAAAAGAACGAGAACGATGCCGCAAGAATTAAATCCGGTTTGGAACGAGAAATTTTACTTGTGAGTAGTCGTGGCAGTAGTAGTAGTGGGAGAGGTAATGGTGGTGGTGGTGGGAGTGGTGGTTGTAACCTTGTTACCTGTTTGTATATTTTTCCAGCGAGTGTCACAATTCGTCGGATAGGATAAAAGTAAGAGTTTGGGACGAAGATAACGATTTGAAATCGAAATTACGACAGAAATTAACGAGAGAATCCGATGATTTTTTGGGTCAAACGATAATCGAAGTGAGAACATTATCCGGTGAAATGGACGTTTGGTACAATCTGGAAAAAAGAACGGATAAATCAGCCGTTTCCGGTGCTATAAGATTACATATCAGCGTAGAAATAAAAGGTGAAGAAAAGGTAATGTCGATCAGAAAAAATCTTTTCTCATCTCATCATGTTTTCGTTACGTAAATAATAATAATGATAATGATTTGTAAAAAAAAAAGGTCGCGCCATATCACGTTCAATACACTTGCCTTCACGAAAACCTTTTTCATTCTCTCTGTGAAAACAACGGAGGAATGGTTAATTTACCGAGAGCCAAGGGAGACGATGCTTGGAAAGTTTATTTCGACGAAGCTGGAGAAGAATTAGTCGATGAATTTGCCATGAGATACGGCATCGAATCCATATATCAAGCTATGACGTAAGCAAACAAATCCGTGCCCCCCCCCCCATGTGACGAACGTGTCTTTATTATTTATTAATTTTTTTTTTTACGTTTTCCATTCCAGGCATTTTCATTGCCTTTCGACAAAATATTTATGCCCTGGAGTACCTGCCGTTATGAGCACTCTCTTGGCTAATATAAATGCCTTTTACGCGCACACTACAGCATCATCAGCTGTATCTGCTAGTGATAGATTTTCAGCCTCTAATTTTGGAGTAATTATTTATTTATTTATTTATTCTATCGTTGGCAACACTGATAAGAAAATATTTAATAAAAAAATCATTTCCGTTTTTGTTTTCAGAAAGAAAAATTTGTTAAACTCTTAGATCAATTGCACAATTCATTGAGAATAGATTTATCAATGTATAGGAATAATTTTCCAGCGTCGAGCCAGGAAAAATTGATGGATTTAAAATCAACGGTAGATTTATTAACTAGTATAACTTTCTTTAGAATGAAAGTACAAGAACTTTCGAGTCCTCCGAGAGCGTCGACGGTCGTAAAAGACTGCGTTAAAGCGTGTTTGAGATCGACATATCAATTTTTATTCGAAAATTGTTACGAACTTTATTCGCGTGAATTTCAAGTGGATCCGAGCGAACCCAAAAGGGATCCAAACGATAACGGACCGCAATTGGACAGCGTTGATTTTTGGCACAAGTTAATTGCACTGATAGTATCCGTCATCGAAGAAGATAAAAACAGTTACGGTCCTGTATTGAATCAATTTCCACAAGAGTTGAACATAGGTCAGTTGAGTGCTGCGACGATGTGGAGTCAATTTGCCATTGATATGAAATACGCTCTCGAAGAACACGAAACTCACAGGCTGTGCAAGTCTTCTGCTTACATGAACCTACATTTCAAAGTCAAATGGTTACATACAAATTATGTAAAAGATGTGCCTCCATATAAAGGAACCGTGCCGGAATATCCAGCGTAATTTTTTTTTTTTCTTTTTCTGCTGTTGTTTTTCTTGTTCGCTTCGGAAAATTGTCAAAATTGTTTTTTTTTTTTTTTTCCAGATGGTTTGAGCCCTTCGTCATGCAGTGGTTAAATGAAAACGATGACGTTTCGTTAGAATATTTACACGGGGCCTTTAACAGAGATAAAAAAGACGGGGTGAGAGGAACGGATGTGATACAACAACAGCATGCGAAATTTAACGGGGAGCCATGATGAAAAATTTATTTTTTATGTTTCAGTTTCAAAAAAGTAGTGAACACGCATTATTTTCCAATTCCGTCGTGGATGTGTTTACTCAGCTCACTCAGTGCTTTGATGTCGTTTCTAAATTAGAATGTCCAGATCCCGAAATATGGAAAAGATACATGAAAAGATTTGCTAAAACAATCGTTAAAGTATTAGTTGCCTATGCCGACATATGTAAAAAAGAATTTCCAAATTTTTTAAAAGACGAACGTATTGTGAGTAGTGAAAAAACAAACGAAATTCCTCTACCCCCCCCCCCGGTTTTGTTTGTTGTTCATTCACGACCCGGTTGTTGCTGTTTCAGGCCTGTATTTTAATGAACAACATTCAACAGTTGAGAGTTCAATTGGAAAAAATGTTTGAATCAATGGGCGGTGATAAATTGGAAGAAGATGCTGCCAACATATTAAAAGAGCTACAGCAAAATTTAAACAGCGTACTCGATGATCTCGCAATAGTGTTTGCATCGAGGTACGTTCCTAGTCTCTCGACCCTTTGACCCTTTTACCCCTGACGTCATTTATTCGTTTTTTTTTTTGGTTACAGTTTGGAAAATCAAATAACTGTCAGCGTTCGAGAATTAGGAGATTTATTATTGTCCATAAAGGGCGGAGGACAAGTCACGTTAAATCAACCCGCTCAAAGGAATGCTGTTGCACAGGAAGCGGATGAAGTTCTTCGTCCTCTCATGGATTTACTCGACGGTTCGCTCACACTTTACGCTCAGTCGTGTGAAAAGACTGTGTTAAAACGCTTGCTCAAAGAGCTCTGGAAAATCGTCATGAGAATTCTGGAGAAGACTGTTGTTTTACCCCCAATGACTGATAAAACGGTGAGTTTTTATTGATAACCTATAATTTTTTTTTGTTCGTTGTCTCTCCCCTCCCTTCCTCCCTCCCTCTTTTCCCTCCTCTCTCTTCCACAATTTATAATCATTATTATTATCACTATTTCTTCCTTTTTTTCTCTTTAGATGATTCTTAAGAATTTAACAGACAATGCTAAAAACTTGGCAGCCAATGCAAAAATAGAAGACATGTCGAAATTGTTTAGGAATCACATGGCAGGAAAACAAGACGTTAAAAATGCATTAAGCGGCGTTATGGTAAGTAAAACAAAAAAATCGAACTGGTTTCGATTACGATTGATTGATTGATAATAATAATAATAATAATAATGACGATGATGACGTCGACGATAATAATTTTTTAACATTTTTTCACTTCTCAGGATATATCGAAAGAAGTAGAAAGGAATTTGACACCGAAACAGTGTGCCGTTTTAGACGTGGCACTAGACACGATAAAACAATATTTCCACGCCGGCGGAAACGGTTTGAAAAAGACATTTTTGGAAAAATCACCGGAATTGCAAAGTTTGAGATATGCCTTGTCTTTATACACTCAAACGACTGACGCCCTGATAAAAACGTTCGTCACGACGCAATTGAACGAAGGTATGTGTTGCACCTTTATTATGTCACGTGACCCCCCGCCTCCCCCCTTTTTTTATGCTTTTATTCTCACGCGTTTTATTTACCCCCACTTCCGGTTCTTTTCTTTTCTTTTATAAAAAATTTACTTTTTTAAAGTAAATTAAAGCCGTCATCACTATTATTATTATTATTTCTTTTGGGCGTTTTAGAAAAAAAAAAAAATTATCGACAAAATGTTTTGTTTTCGAGATATCGATCGATATTTCCCGTATGAATATGAATCGATGGCCCGAGATATCGATCATGCGAGTTTCCTTTTCGCGGTAAAACCGTTTGAAAACCGGTGTAGGATTCGTTTGTTTACGGGTATTTAATAACGATGATGATGATGATAATTACAATGATAATAATGATAATAATACTAATAATAATAATAATGAATGAATCGGAAATTTATGTTTACGATTAAAAAATTATTTAATTGACTCCGAAAAGAAAAAAAAATTGTTTTGTTTGGGTTGGTTTATTTTTTCCGACTTTGGATTTTCGTTCTTCGGTAAAAATAAAAAATAATCGAATCGAAATTAATAATATTTAAATCGATTAATCGAAAATACTGTTGAATAGATAAAGGGTTTTTTATACACGCGTGTGTGTCTGTTTATACGCACGTGCGTGACTGAGGGACACCCGTAAAAATTCAATTCAATTTTCTTTTTATTATTATTATTCTAATATTTTTCCTTTTCGCGTTCGATTCGTCGCCATCTTCATCACCACCACCACCATCATCATCATCATCATCATCATCATCATGATCGAAATCACGAAAAATTTTAATAATTAATCTTTTTTATTTTAATTCATTTATATTTATAATAATTTTTTATATTTTTTTTTTTTTATTGTTTTATTTTTAAATGAACAGTTATAATTTTTAAAACTCACTCACATCATCTTTCACCCACAGAAAAAAAAAAAAACTAATGATAATAATAATAATAATAATAATAATAATAATAATAGTAAACGAGAAAAAAAAAAAGAAAAAAAAAGAAAAAAATTTTTTATATTATCGTTTGGGGGCCATCTTGATAGTTTATCATCATCATCATCATCGACGTTATTGCCACCGCCATCACCACCACCACCACCACTGTCACCACTACCACTACCACCTCCACACCGTCACATCGCCATCATCATCATCATCATCCTCCTCGTATTTTTTTCTTTTTTTCCCCTTTTTTTTTTTTTTTTTTTTTTAAACTCACAAATTAATTAATATTAAAAACAATCAATCAATCAATCAATCAATCAATCATACTTGCTTTCATATATATTTATGCATGTGTATGTATATCTCTATATTTTTTTTTAATATTTATAATAACATTAGTTTTTTAAATTATCATCATCATAATCATTATCATTATTATTTATTTATTTATATTTATTTATTTATTTATAATCAAAAAAAGGCTTTATTTATTTATTTATTTATTTAAAACAGATAAAAATGCACTCTCAGCTAAAATAAAAATTTTTTTTTTTTTTCTTATTAACCAACACACTTACTGGAATACAAAATTTTCGAGTAAACGGTATACTGTGAAATAAGTTTATTTATCATCATCATCATTATCATTATCATTATTATTATTATTTTTTCTGTCCTTATCAAATTTGATAACGGAACAATTACTGAAGTCTTTTTTTGTTTCCCCCTTTTTCTTTTTTTTTCTTTTAATTAAACTTGAAAAAAAAAAAAAAAAAATTCACACATATCATAATGCATGGAATTCATATCGATAATCAGTCCCCGTTCGCAGTCTTAAATGACTATCTATTTATTCACCCACAAGAAGTAGAAAAACAAGAAGAACAATAAGAAGAAGAAGAAGAAGAAGAAGATGAACAAGAAGAAAAAAAAAAAAAAAAACAAACATCGTTATCATTATCATTATCATATCATAATTATTATTATTATTTATTTATTTATTATTTATTATTAATTTTCTTTTATTTCTTTGTTTTTTACTTTTCTTTTTGCCTGATACTTTATTTTTTTGTTTGTTTGTTTGTTTTCGTTTTTTTTTTGTTTTTGTTTTTTTTTTTTGTTTTTACTGAAGGCAACGTGTTTTCTCTCTTTCTTTCTTTCTCTCTCTGTCTCTCTCTTTCTTTTTTTTACTAGTTTTATGTCTTTACATTTCCGCATCCGCACCGTCTAAATCTCCCGCGATTAATTCTCCTTGATCGTCTTCCGTGAGTCCCGCTTCGGCCGCGAGAGCCGCCAACGCTGAATCCGTTGTTGCAACTCCTTCGGCGGTTGTCGCCGTCGTCCTAGGCATGACCATTATGCGCTGAACTCCGCCTTCTCCGACTTGCACTATGCCCGAACTCCCTTGCTTTTGTCCGAGCGTTTGAACGATCATTTTCTGCCCTCCTGCCACGTTCACCTGTTTTCCTCCGATTGTTATCGAAGGATGTTGACCGATTATTTGTCCGCCGACGGTTCGCTTTTGTGCCAGCGTGACCGTTTTCCCCTGCTGACCGGGCACTCCGATTTGTATGGGCCTTCCCGTTCCCGATTGGGTCTTGGAAACAATGTACATTTTCTTTCCGTCTGCCGTCGTCACCGTCTGACCGGGAGATATGATGTTCACTCCCGACGAGGATGTTCCTATTATTTGTTGAGTTCCCGCTGATGTCGTTATACCTTGTACTGTTCTGATGCCCGAACCGGCGGATGACACGATTATTTGTTGCTGACCACCTCCCGGTTTCGCTATGAACACGGTTTGCTTTCCTCCGGCGCCCTGCATGACTACGTTCGATGGTAATGTTTTTATAATTTGCGTTCCTCCTCCTTGACCGGGTTGAACCAATTTGACGAATTTGGGTAGCCCTTGAGCAGTTCCGGAAACCGGCGTCGTCCCTCCTGTTTTTCCATGTATGCTAACTGTTTTTGGCATTTGAGCTACTGTTGTGCCTTGGCTAGTTTTAACTAATGTTACATATTGAGTCTGACCGGTTCCGCTCGGCTTCTGTAGAATAATTTGCGGTTGTCCTCCGACCGTTTGTCCCCCTTGTTTTTGTAAAATGAATTGCTTTCCTCCCGCCGTTTGAACCGTGCTTCCTTTTTGTAAAATTACTTGTTGCCCACCGCCTGATCCCGGTTTTTGAACCAGAACTTGTTGAGCTCCCGCCGGTATGGTTCCTCCTTTTTGAACAATGATTTGCTGTCCGCTTTGGGTGGTAACGGTTCCTCCTTGCTTTTGAACGAGAATCGGTTGACCTCCAGTGCCGGATTTTTGCCATATGATTTGTTGCTTTTGTCCTGATTGTGATATTGTTTTAAGAACGGTTCCGGCAGGTCTCACGACTCCGGCTTGTGAAACTCCAGCAATTTTCACACTGCCTTCTTGTTGAATCCCTCCGACTTTAATTGCTTGACCGGTCAACGTGGTGCCAGCTTGAACCACTCGAATCGGAGTCTGTCCCGGAGTGTTTATTTTTTGCGTTGCCGCAGCGGCCGCGGCCAATGTTTGAATACCAGATAAAGTGCCGGCTTTGGTTGTTCCTTGTGCTTGAGATGTTTGTAAAACTGGCGTCCGGGGTGGCGATTGAAGACCAGTAGCAGGAAGTTTTATTTGAGTTTGCATCGGTTTGTAGGGAGGACTACTGCCGGATAAACGAATTTGTTTTGCTGGGACAGGTCCAGAGGATGATACGGGAGCGGGAGTCGATACTGGAGTTGCGACCGGAGCGGGAGCCGGAGGCATGTCGTACTTTTGAATTTGTAATATGTATGAATCAGCGTTCGGGCTGGGAGTCCAATTCACTTCTAAAGAGTTTGTCATAGCACGAACGAGTTGAACTCTACCAGGGGCTGCAGGTTTTTCGGCTTCCAAAAACCACAAATCCTTGCAACAAACTTGATTGTTCCATGCTTTACGGTAACCATCTCTTCCGGACCATATGTATAACCGATTCCGTACGACGGTCGCGCAATGACCGGCTCTCGGCCTCGGCCTGTTCTCTCCAATCTGATAATCTTCCCATCTTAAAGTTTCCAAATTTAAAACTCCCAAAGAATTGGTGCATTTCCATTCTTTTTCGTGTTCCCATTCTTGATTTTCGTCTCTGTTCTCGTCGACGAGAGGAACCCAACCACCGAAAATAAACATTTTATGACCTATTAGAGACGCGGTGTGAAGCGATCTTGGCAGTGGAACGGATCCGAATAAAACAGGTTGAGACCACGTCATCGTTTCTATGTCCAAAGACCAAACATCTCCCAGTCTACGTCCGCACATTCCACCGTATATGATAAGACGGGATTTTCCTTCTTTGTCGGTGTAACCCACTGCCGAATGACTTTCTCTAGGCGAAGGTGGCTCTCCGTACGTTTTAGGTTTATCCCACATGACGCTTCCGTCCGGACACAATTTCAACGTGTACAAATCGTTCAAATACATGGGCGTGGGATTTTCTTCCTTTGAATTCTGATACAAATCTTCTCTCGTCAATCCTCCAAACAGATAAACTTTGTTGTCGATGAGTGTGAAACTGTGACCCAATCTCGGACACGGTGGAAAATCGTCTTCCGGCGGAACAGGATTCAATCTTCTCCATTCCCATCGGCTCGCGTGAAGCTCGTACAAGTCGTTCCAGTATTTCCCATATTCTACCATTCCACCGAACATTAACATCCTGGTTCCATCCACCACGAATCCGTATGCGGCACATCCCGGAGGAATGTCACCGGATAAAGCCGGAACGAACCTATTGAAAAAAAAAAAATTATAGGTTTATAATAATTTCTTGCTGCTCATCATCATCATCATCATCGTGCAAAAACAAAAAGTAACTCACCACTGATTTTTTAATGTGTTGTAAACGGATAACTCATTGACTATTCCTTCGTTTCCTCCTCCGAAAATAACAATCAAATCTTTAATGGCCACAGCTCTGTGTCCGTGCCTCGGCCTGGGCATTGGACCAGCTTGATTGTTGATTCTCTTCCATTGTAACAATATATTGTTATCTTCGTTCGCCGGTTCAATGTTAGTCATATTGCGACACTTTTATGCGTTTTTTTTTTCCCTCAATATTCTTATTATTATTATTATTATCAGAAGTTCACAACTATTCACTTCTTGAAATGTTTATTCTTCTTAGAAATCAATACATGAAAAACCATCGCACTGGAAAAATCCAAAAAAAAAAAAAAATTTAAATTAATTAAATTTTATTTATTTTCAGGTGAGGCTTTGGCAGCGGAAGAAGGGAGCGTGGGAGAAGTTTCGATTCAAGTCGATTTGTTCACTCATCCCGGTACCGGAGAGCATAAGGTCACGGTCAAAGTCGTAGCGGCAAACGATTTGAAATGGAATTCAATCAGCGGAATGTTCAGACCTTTCGTCGAAGTTAATCTCATCGGACCACATTTGGCCGATAAGAAAAGAAAACACGCGACGAAATCCAAATCAAACAATTGGTCACCGAAATACAATGAAACGTTTCATTTGTAAGTTTTTCCCAATTTTTTTCCCCCCCCCCCCCAAAGAAAAAAAAAAAAAATTTTCTTTTTTCATTTGATAAACAAAACTTTTTTTGCAGCATCATCGGGAGCGAAGATCAATTGGATTATTTCGAATTACACATTTGCGTGAAAGATTATTGTTTTGCAAGAGATGACAGACTCGTCGGTGTGGCCGTTTTGCAACTCAAAGACATCGTCGAACAGGTAAATTAAAATTTTAGCGCGAACGCGTCCAAGTTTACCAAAAAAAAACAAAAACAAACACACACAAAACCGTTCGTTTTTTTCTTCTTTTTCTTTCCAATCAATCAATCAATCAGGGATCGTGCGCTTGTTGGCTTTCTCTCGGCAAGAGAATACAAATGGACGAAACGGGTTGGACGATTTTAAGGATTTTGTCGCAGAGGACAAACGACGAAGTGGCAAAAAATTTCGTCAAATTAAAATCCGATATACGACAAGAAAATCCACCTCCTCCTTCTACTCAACAACCGGCAACTACTTAAACAAAACAAACGTGTATCTAATATCTGTGTTAAAAAAAAAAAAAAGGCAGCAACATTGCGTTTATTCCTTTAATTAATAATAAAAAATTTACTCGTGACAATATTATTATTATTATTATTATTATTATTATTATTATTATTATTATTATTATTATTATTAATCAATTAATAATTAATTAAAAGGGGGGGAAAAAAAATCACAAACAAAACCGCCGTCAACTCAACCCCCATCACCACCACCACACATACACACACACTTTCCCCCACTCCCCCCTCAGCCACCGCCGACCTCCGCCGCGTAATAAAAAAAAAAAACCGTTTTTACACTCTATGACTTTTCAACCGTTAAAATACAGACACACACACACACACACACACAAACACGTCTAAAATTTAGGATTAAATGTTGTACACACCTCATGTTTTTAATTATCGAATGCGGTGTTTTTAAAAAATAAAAATAAATAAATTATTAATCGTTTGATTTTAAACAATAAATAAATAAATTGTTAAATAACCGTTTAAATAAATAAATATATATACCATAAAAAATAATTAAAAGACGCGCTTCTAGTTTAAAAAAAAAAACGTTGGTAATTATTACATTGCTTACACACACACACACACACACACACACACACACACACACACAAATTCAAACAAAACCGCTACACGTGTACATAAGTACGTGTATGCGTGCATAAAACACACGTGTGCGAAAAAAATAAAAAAAAAAAAAACCGCAAGCATGCGTAAGTAAGTACGCGTCGCGTATACACACACACATGTACATGTTCGTTTAAACAAAAAAGACTTGATCGTCGATAACAATAACAATATTATTAACAATTTTAACAATATTAATAATATTAATAATTAATAATAATAATAATAAAGTCTCTTTTACATTCGTCATGATTATTGTAAATGTTTGTATATTACATATTATTATTATTATTACTGTTATTATTAAAAAAAACGTTTTTATTCGTTACAAAAAAAAAAAAAAAAAAATTTTAACTCGGTTTCGCTCATTGTTTTTTTTTTTTTTTATATGTTATTTCCCCCCGCCTCCTGGTTGTTTGTCTGTTTGTTTTACGATTGTTTATATATATATATTTATAAAATTTTAATATGCTTTTTTCGATTCCGTCAAAATGATACATGTTTCTTATTATATACGCGTAAAATATAAATATACGTTTTGTATGTGCGATTTCCGGTTTGTAAATTTTTCGACAAGAATTTTTAGCGCGAAAAAAATTTTTTTTACACGCGTGTACATATAATTAAACCCCGCCCCGCCCACCCTTTTCCTCCCCCTTCCCGCCTTTTTTTCCTCTTCTCTTCTTCATCGTCCTTCCAACGTCTCTTCATGATTTTCTTCACTTCCATCTCTTCCTTCTCTTCCTCCTCCTCCTCCTCCATCTTCTTTTTCTTCATCTTATTATTATTATTATAATAAAATTTTAATAAATAAATAAATAAATAAACAATGTTAATGCCAAAAAAACAAAAAAAAAAATCATTAACTTAAATAAATAATTTTTTTCGATGATGATGATAATAATAATAATAACCTCGCCAACTTATGTATAACGTTTATGAATAACCGAAAAAAAAAAAAAAATTAAATAATAATAATTATAACAATAATAATAATAATTGATTTAGTATGTGATCGATCGAATGAAAATGATCACGTGTACAAAAATAATAATAATATTTTCTTTTTTTTTTTTTTTCGGTAAATGTTTTAGAGCAAATCGTTTCTTCTTAAAATTTTCTTATTTTTGTTGTAAAATTTAATTCCTTTTTGTCTCTGTCTCTCTCTCTCATTTCTTCTTCTTCTTAATCTTAATCTTTTCCTTTTATTTTTTATAAAATTTAAGTGTTTTAACTTGACAAGCCTTAAATGAATATATATATATATATATAATTAATGATAATAATAATTACTAACTATACTTGTTTGTACAAATATTCTTTGCATTTCTATATATATATATATATATATAAAAAAATTTTTTTTTTTTTTTTTTTTTTAGCTTTAAGCTAGGTAGCTTTTATGTATAAAAATATACATATGTGAAAGCTTATTAATAAATAAATAAAAATTATATACATATATAAATAAATAAATATGCATGCATATGTATGAATATATATATATATATATATAAAAAAAAGCTACAAATAATTATTGACCAAATGAAAAATAATAAAAAATATATAAAAAAAAAAAATATTAATAATTTCTAATTATAACAAAAATATTTTTTTTAGTTATTTAAAATAATAATACTAATAATAATAATAATAATAATAATAATTTTTTCCTCCTACAAGGAAATTAAAAAAAAAATTTTTTTTTTTTTTTTAAAATAAATTGTAATATTAATGTTTTTTTGTTTTCTGTTTTTTAAATTCATTAATAATAATAATATTAATAATTCTTTATCATTCTTCTTCTTCTTCTTCAAATGTTTTTATCATTATAAAATATTATTAATTTTTTTTTTTTTTCGAATGATTTCGAACCTGAAACTTTTTTTGAAAATTCCTCATGTTCTATCTGGTGAAGGGTACTTTTAAATGTTTATAACATGATAAAATGAGAAAAAACTAATTGAATCAATTATTGATTTAACATTTTATGAGCTTGAGATCTTTTACATGCAATACTTTCTTTTCTTTCTTTTAAATAGAAATAAAAAACCAATGATTTGAACTCGAAATCTTTCTCTCTCTCTCTTTTTAAATAAATACAATTACATAATTTATGTGAAATTAAAATAATGATAAGTTTTAATTGAAACAAAAAAAAAAAAAAATTAATGATTATGATAATAACAAATATGTTTTTTTTTTTTTTTTTTTTACAGATATCGATATTTTAAAAGTCACCACCGAAATTTTTTTCGTTTTATGCATTTACATATATATATATACAGAAAGTGTAGATTTGAACATCACAAAAATATTTTTGAATAAACAAAATCATCTTAATTCCTACAAAATATACAAATAAAAAAAAAACATAATTAAATAATAATTAATGATTTAAAAATAACACACAAAAAAAATAGATTTTTTGTGTACGCTTTAACAAAATTCATTTGGAGCGTTTTATTACTCAATTACTAAATCAAACGAAAAATTTATATGTGTGTGTGTGTGTATATATGTATTTAATTTATTCGTTAGTAAAATTAATAATGATTTTTCATTACGTTGGAATTTAACAACAAAATGCATCTCTCACCTTGAAAAATGTTATATAAAATAACAGATCGAAATAATAATAAACTGAACATAACAAATGCAATTACGATATCAAACGAAGAAGTAAATATAAGTTTACACAGTCGGCTTCGGTCCAACTCCTTATCAATTCGATTTTGAAACTTACATTACGGAGACATTAAAAAAATAAGGGTTATTACAAAGTGAATATATTTACCTGAAATTAAATAAATAAATCCATTTAAGAAATTAATATAAATAATAAAAACGTTTTTTTTAGAAAAATGACAAAAACAATCCAATATGGCTGCCGTCATTGATTCTCCACACTGGTTAGGTTATGGTTTTCTATGTTTAAATTGAGATTTATATTTGATTATGTGATACTTATAACGTAAATATATATGAATTAAATTATAAATTTTACTCACCTTTAAATGAAATTAAAAACTGTACATAAAAATAACTAATAACTTCACCGAATATTATTATTTTCACAAAGGCGGTATAACAAATTTTTACAATGTAGCTGACGCCATACTTTGACGCTCGACTGTGGAAGCCTAAAACATTGCATTTTGGGTAAAAATTGTTTCTATTTTTCGAACACATCTCATGTTAAATAAGGCCAACCGATGCGTATATTGGAAATTATAATTTCAAAAAAAATTATATTTCATCGAATGTTATATTGTAAGTTATTATTTACGTTATTTTGAATAAATAAATTTGAAATAATTCAAAAATTATTATTTGATAAATTTAAATTTAATAAATTGAAAGTGTAGATTAGCATCATTATGAATTTATTTAATCGATGCTTTTTTTGCAAATATATACAAATTATTTTATTTCGGACAAGCAGTAATTAAATTTTCTTTAAAAATTTCATAAAATATTTTACAAAAAAGGATTTCAAAATGATTTTTATACGTTTTTAGTATAACGTATTAAAAAAATAATTTTACGCGCTATTTTTAGAACGTTGGCAACATGCATTTCGTTGTCAAAATGATGCACAGTGCGCATGCGTTCATAAGAGTGCGTTTCTTTAAAAATTTTATTTAAAAAAGATTTTAATCGTGAAATAGAATGACAAAAGACTAATAATAATTTTAAAAAATTATTTAAAATTAATTTAAACTGTTTTTTAATTTATTTTTACTCGGTGAAATATTTTAATTAAAAAAATTTAAATATTTAGTGATGAAAGTAGTTTTTTAAGGAAACGCGAATATTACCCTTATACTGAATTTAGATGTAAGAACCACAGGACAGAAATGGCCGAGCTTGTGGCAGGTGTTCAGTACGGCCTATCCTCGCGAAATTCTATCGAAAAACCTTCAATATTTTTTGTTAAATTAACGGATTCAGCTGTTCGTTCTATAGAGGAATATTATAAAAATGCGGTGAGTCAATTTTTTTATTTTCATTTTATAAAGGAAACAAAAAAAAAAAAAAAAAGATAGGATTCAAATAAATTATTCGTCGATGAAGTCGCCATTTGCGAGGCCTACTTTCGAAATTTATCATAAAATACTTTATTTTAACAACGTGGCAAATAATTATGTTTTATAATTATTTTCTATTTATTTATTTTAAAACTTTATTAAAAAACGAATCGTTTTCAATAAGTTAAGCTCGACGAAATATGATTAATTGTCAAATGCAATTAACCCATCTGTGTGTCATTGTATTTAAGTTTTGAAAAATTTTTTTTTTTTTTTTTTATTGAGGACCTTTCATTTTAACTTCTATTTATATAAATCAATTTCAATTAAATTCCCTTTTGTAAAAACTAATAGTTAAAAAGAAAAATTTTTTAAAAAAACAAAATTTTACATTTGCAATCTTGCTCAATTTAATTTCTCTCTCTCTCTCCGTAAGGTGTTTTAAGGAACAGTATACAAAATTATTATTATTATTTTCTTTTCTTTAATAAGGTTACCAATTGAAAATATATTTTGAAATTTAATAAAGGCAAAAAGTTCATATCTAAGTAAAAATAAGTTATCTCGAGTAAATTTTTAAGGTGCATTTTTTGTCCTCTCATTCAATAAGCTGCAAGGACATCAATATTGTAACAGCTGTTTAAATAGAACAATGCATTATTTTAACCACTTTAGTTTTTTTTCGAATCATTATTCAACATATTTAATCCACCATTTTTTTTTTAATTTATTTGTGTCTTTTAAAATTAAAAATTAATAATTATTTGAAATTTTTTAACGAATGATTTTTATATAGATTTTAAATTATGAGTTTTAGGTTAACCTTTTTAATATTTATGTTACATTAACTGGTTCGAGTAGGAAAAAAAAAAAAAAAAAAAAAAAAGGAATTCGAGAAATTTATTTTGAAAAAAATCAATCATTTGATTTTCATAATTAAACAAGTTGTCCAGACATATATACATATATTTTTCATAATAATTTAAATTTTATTTTAATAATAATAATATTTGAATATGCAAAATTTTAGATTTCAAATTGTTTTTTTTTTTTTTTTAAAACAATTTAAATTTTAGTTGTTAGGCTTGTTAGGGATTTGAAAAAATGGTGAATGTGCGATTAATTAAAAATTTTATTAGGGGGAAAAACAAAAAAAGTATTTAATTGAGGAAATTTTTTGCAAAAAAAAAAAAAATTTAGTTGGGTTCCATTCGATGATGATGTTCTTGGGATTTTTTTTTTGCACACCCATTCAAATAACCCCTGGGTTAAATAATTAAAAAAATTTACAAATGGTTAGGCTAAACGATTCTTTTTATTTTTCCCAAAAAAAATTTATTTATTTATTTATTATTATTATTATTATTATTATTAATACTTTTTCATAGTCGAATTACATTTTTTATTATAAATTGTGCACTGTTGCATTTGTTAATGTTTTCAATTGTTTCAAATTTTTTTTCTTTTAATTTTTTAAATTTTAACTTTATAAATTTATTTAAAAAAAAGAAAAAGAAA